GGCTTCGGGCAGCCCCCGTGCCTCCGGACCCCCAGCCGCCGGAGCAGAGCAGCTGGAGCCGGGGAGGAGAAGTGCCCGGCCGGGGGCGCAGGGTCCGGAGGCTGCCCGGCAAACCGTAAAGCCGTTAGCGCTCGGGCAGCCCTTTTCGCGTGGCTGGGAGGGAGGAGGGGGAGTTAGGGCGGGGACTTTGGGGAAGGGGCGAGGAAAGGGCGGAGTTGGGGCTGGGCCGGGGGTGGGAAAGGGGCGGGGCCGGGTGGGAAAGGGGCGGGGCTAGGGCCCGTGGAGTGTCCTCTTTTTTTATGTTTTAAATATGGTAACCCTACCAAAGGAATGTCTGCAAATAATCCAGGCAAAGAGACAATCTGATTGAAATCGTTTGACTATGGACAATTTAGTCAAATTTGCTAAAGGAATATAAGGGGTTTGTTTCTGTTGGAACTTAACTGCCTCAAATGTATAAAGGGAAAGTAACCTATGTACAGCTGTGTAACCACAGAGCAGTGTCAGGGATGCTAAGAAAAAATAATCTGTGTGTAAATATATTGTGTAAATATGTGCGGTTTTAAGGACCTAACTCAACACTCCTGGCTTGTAGGTTGAAGATGAATTGGTTTGGTTTGTAAATAGTACCACTAACAGCCATTGGAAGCTTTCATTCAACGTTGCAAAACTGACAGAGACTGCTTGCCAGACACAGGTAACTCGCGTTGTTTGGCTTGGGGATTTCTCATTTAACCCTTAAGGTACCTCAATGCTTTATAACGTTCAATATCGTTTTATAGACCAAAGTCATGGCTGCAGCGGGGCAGTCAAACCCAGGAGGATGGGGAGAGATTCTGGATTTCTATTTTTTCTTTTTTTTTGGTAACAAAATAGCTGTAGTAAAAGAATAAGAAAAAAAAAAAAAAGGACAGTGCCCCTCTGGAGCCAGCGCAGGGGTGAGGTGCACAGAGAATCACGGTTACAAACACTGAGCCTTAGGCAGCTCTGTGTAATCACACTGTCACTTTGATAAGGGGCCATGAAAACTCGGTGAGCACAACAAAACCCAAGACCAGTTACACCTGATGTAAAAATGGATCTGGCTAATATAACGTTATAGAAGTTAAACGATGGAAGAAATGTGCATGTTTCCCAGGACATGTGCCGTGTATATTGTAGAAGGGGTAAAAGAAATGTTGCAGATGGGTGGAGGTCAAGGAATGCCAGTCTGTTAACAAGGAAACATCCTCAGGTAGCACACACCATAGTAGGAGGGATTGGTTTTGGAGCAGGGATTATGAATACTGTAGTCCTGGAGGTAATTAAGAATAAATTAAGTTCCTTGTCACAACTGCAAGCTAGTCTCATTCACAGGCAGGCAGATAATATGGTGGATTTGGTACAACTATTTCTGGGAAACCTAAAGGCAACATGGAATATGTGGCGGTGGCTAAACGCCACCTCCTGGCTGCTGTATAAACAACAAGTAGAGTTAGGGAATAAAACTGCCTTGGCCATAGGATGTACTGAGATGCAAGTTCTTCGTTTAGCAGCACTGCAACACGAATGTTTTGGGTAATATCTGGGAATGTTCGGGTATTAACGCATCTTTTCAAACAATGGGAGAGGTCCTTGTTCGACACTACAAACATGAATGGATGCAGTATGTTTCCAGCATGGTTAAGCCTGATTTGGTATCAGGTGAAATTATTGTTAAAATTGCTCACCAACGGTCAGTGGAGACAGAAACATGGGAAGTGAGCCTGCTCCCAAAACTGACCATGGGATCCTTTCGGCTACCACGGGTTATGGGTCAGTGGCTGGGAAAGGGGAGAAATGATTGGACACCCGAGGGTGTACGGAGTGGAGCCCTCAGAAATGGGTGTGCTTGTCCCTACCTGTCACCACAGCACCGTGCAGCAAGGCCACATCCTTGGGAACACGTGAATGAGACGAACTAGAAAATGTGACGAGTGTTTTCTACAACGGACAATGTGTATGTGTTACCTCCTGGGAACCAGTATTTTGGGAGGATGCAAGTATCAGCCAACCCCCAGTGGATGAATGTAGATGGAATGCCCGGGGATTAGATACTAGTAATCACGCATGCTATGTACCAAAGTTAGAAGAAGCAGAGAGCACTATAACCACCACCCCGGTTAATTTCTCTGTTACCCTTGGCCTGGATTGGCGCCATCTAACTGATCACTTGTTGTCAGAAACAAGGTGACTCCGTTTTTGCAAGAGACACAAAGGGATATAGGAAGCGCGTCATTCAACTAGTACATGGCAATGGAGACAGGCTAAAAATGGCTGTGTCTGAAAATGAGCTGACAGCCTACACTGGTACGACGTTTTACAGGCTGGTCCCGAACTCTAAGGGCACATTGTCTATTACGTTTCACCCATTACTCGTTGTGTTACTATTGTCCTGTGTTTGCTTGCTAGGAATGTGTTGTATGTGCTGTTGGACAAAAAGAATGTTTGTTAAATTACAACCACAAGCTCAAATTGTCTCTCAGTAGATTGCTATGAAACAATTGTGTAAAATATGACCCACACAGGAATTGTTCTTGAGGGGTCAAGAGGGGGACATGTAGTAGTAGGATTTTATGTTTGTATTTTGTATCATTTAAAAAGAAGGCTAAAGAATAATAAGATAAGACTGTAGCATGTATTAAATGTATTGCTGTAGGAGATGATTTGATTGTGTTCTGCCGGCCACCCTGACTGGATAGCAGGAAGGAACCACCCTGGGTTGCTGGAAAAAACCCATCAGTCAGGCTGCCTGTGTCTGAACTGATGATAACGCAGGAACAGACCAGAACGGTCCTTATGGCTGATTCTGGTCACCTTTGGTTTTAGGAGAAGTTTTCATGACAGTATTTGCTAGAAGGTCTTGTTTCTTCTCTGCATTGCAAACAAAGTTGTGTAAGGTTGTTTTGTAATCCCTTTAGTAACCACAGAACCCTTTCGAAAATGGACTCCTGTCTGAAATCCTCTGGACAATTGTTTGGGGTGAGTAAATGACGTGTGCACGGCTAAGGGGGAGTGTGAAAGCATCACACATGTCCAGATGGTCAAGAAGAAGTGAGAGACTTGGAGAGACAGCAGGAAACAATCAGCTAAACTCCCATCTGCACAGGCAGGGTGACCGGACAGCAAGTGTGAACAGTTGGGAGACGGGGTGGGGGGGGGAATAGGTGCCTGTATAAAACAAAGCCCCAAATATCGGGACTGTCCCGATCAACTCGGGACACCTGGTCACCCTATGCGCAGGTGCCATCTCTGCCAGACCCCCCCCCCACGCGCGCCAGGTGAGTCCCCAGCTGCTGCCCCCGCGCACGGCGCGGCAGGGTGACACACGGACCTCGCTGCTGCCCCCGGCAGCCCTGGCACCTTCCGGCAGGGGCGCTGGTGGCACTAGCGGCTGCAAGGCTCCTGAGCGGGCCAGTGCGACTCTGCCCGCCCCAGGCAGGACACCTCAGGAGCCAGGCCTCGGCCTGGGGCAGAGCTCCCTGCCCGCCCCCCGCCGCAGCCCCAGGAGCGGGCGCCTGCAGCAGCCATGGCACCGGCTCCCGCCCCTCCGGGCCCCGCCAGCCCAGGGGGGACCCAGCAGGCCGCGGAGAACCACCAGGCTGGCTCGGGGGCGCTGAACTCAGCAAGCGACCACTCACCAGGCCGGGGCTGCTTCTGCCGGCCCAGCCCTGGCAGCTCACACCAGCCCCCGTCCAGAGCCTCGCCCGGCGGAGCCCTCTGGGCACAGTCCCTGCGGGCAGGGGAGCAGGGCGTGGGTAAGGGCAGAGCTCGGGCCCGGGGGCACCTGGCACAGGACCATCGGCCCCATCGCCTCACGCAAAGCTCGGGGAGAGCAGGGGCTGCGGTCAGGATTGAGGGGCACCAGCGAAGCTGGGGGATGAGCCCCACCACTGTACGAGTGGGGAGGGGGCTGCCCGGGGCTCCCCCACCCCACTCAGCTCCCTCTATGGGGAGGGGGAGAGTTAACCCCTGGCCTCAGAAGCAGCAAAGGGGGGGCTCCCGAGGAAGCAGGAGACACCCCCCCAGGAAAACAGCCACCTGGCCCCCCCTTGTGGTTTGCGGGGTACACTGCGCCGGGGGGGGTCGCGCTGCCCACCCCAAGAACCAGAGACAGGCGCGGCCGCTTGAAGAGTTTCATCTTTATTGAGATTGGCAGGAGAGAGTTTGGGGGAGGTCACGGGGGATATTTACAGAGAACGGGGGGGGGCAGCGTCTCGGCTGGGGGGTCCTTGGGGAGCCGGGCAAGGGGCTGGACACAGAGCTGGGAGAACAGCAAAGAACAGGGAGTCAGGGACCCAGGAACACACAGACCCCCCCCCCAACACCCAGCCCCCCCCCCATGCACAGAGCCCTCCCCCCGACATCCTGCCGACACACAGACCCCCCCCCATGGATATGTAGATCCCCAAGCCCGCCTCTTACACAAAGAACTGCCCCCCCCATGGATACACAGAGCTGTCCCCCCCAGACCCTCCCACCCGCGATGATGAGGGTGGAAATACTGTTATGGGCCGGCTCAGCCAGCCCCAGTCACTGGAGGGGGAGGGCCCTGCCCTGGGAGGGGCCGCAGGGCCCCAGGGTCTCCCGCCCCCTTCTCCTTCGGCCCCTCAGTCAGCACCAGCCGGGCCCCTCCCCTCGCCCAGCGTGGAGCCGGCTTGGGGCGCCCAGGCCCGGGGCCCGGTGGCGGGAGCCGGAGGAGCCGTTCCTGACGCGGGGGTTGCAAGGGCCCTTGGCAGTTCCAGGGGGCCCAGCCCCCAGCCAGGACCCAGCCTGGCAATGCGCCTGGGCCAGTGTGGACGTCCCGGTGCTGGTCTGCGGGGAGCTCAGGCCAGGTCACGGAGTTGGCTGCTGGGAGCTGGGCGGGTCCCCTCTGGTCGGCCAGGGCGGGTGCGACGGGCCCAGCTTCTCCCCGGCGCCCCGGAGTGGAGCTGCCTGGCCTGGCCTGGCCAGTGAGCGTGGTGCAGTCTGTGTCCTGCCGGCTGCGCTCAGCCAGGCCCCGGCGTGGGCCAGCCACTCACTCCCTCAGCCCCTGGGTGGGGCAGCGCTGTGCCCCCGCGCTGCCCGTGGGCCGGGCCCGGCGCCCCTTGTGGGGCTCCACCCAGGAGTTGTGTAGGACGGTGCCCCCGGGCACGGGGTCCACCTGCAGCGCCGACACCACCCGCTTCTTCAGCTTGCTGCGGAGCGCGGCGCGCAGCTTCTGGCGGGCGAAGGCGTAGAGCAGCGGGTGGAAGACGGTGGTGCCATAGGCCAGGGCCAGGAAGCAGAGACGGAGCTGGAGCAGCAGGCGGCCGGGCCCCAGGCACAAGACCAGCAGGTTGGCGATGGAGATGGGCGCCCAGCACACCAGGAAGGTGGAGACGATGATGAGCGACATCCTGAAGACCCGTTTCTGGCGCTCCCGGCGGTCGCGGTGCCGCCTGACGACCCGCCGGAGCGCCACGATCACCGAGACCGAGGCCTGCACCCGCATGGGCTGGGGGGGCAGCGCCGGCGCCGCCTGTACCGGCCTTTGGGCCTCTCCCGCGCCGGCACCCGGCTCCGCCCCTTTCCGGCGCTTCCGGCGCTTGCTGTGGCGGCGCTGGCTGCGGGAGCGGCGCCCGCTCAGGCGGATGTCGAGGGCCCGCAGGACCCGGGCGTAGGTCAGCAGCATGACGGCCCCGGTGGCGGCAAAGGCCGGGATCTGTAGCAGCAGGTGGTAGCACGTGGCCGGCTCGGCCTGGGGCCCGGGGACGCGGAGGCAGAGCGCCGGGCGGGGGCCCCGCAGGATCTCCAGCTCCAAGAAGGGCAGGAAGAAGCCGAGCAGAGACAGCAGCCAGACGGCGGCCAGCAGCAGGGCGGCGCGGCTGGGCGTCAGTGCCCGGCGGCCCGGCCGCACCGAGATGTCGTACCGGTCCAGGCTGACGACCAGCACGTTGGCGGCGGTGGCCACGCTGCCGAAGGTGACGCAGGCCTCGTGGAAGCAGCCCAGCAGCGGGCCGTTGTGCTCCGGCGCCAGCAGCAGCACGGCGACGGTCAGGGGCGCACACACCAGGCACACCAGCGTGTCCAGCACATGCAGGTTCATGGTCACCACGGTGCTGACCGAGTCCACCAGGCCGGGCTGCGAGCAGTACAGAGCCAGCACCGCCAGGTTGCCACTGCAGCCCAGCACGATCTCCAGCAGCAGGAAGCTGCTGAGCGAGACCTGGAAGCCCAGCGGGTAGGGCAGGTACCCGCCGGCGTCGGCGCCGGCCCCGTCCGTGGTCTCCAGGAGGGTGTCGTAGATGGCGCTCTCCATGTCGGGCTGCACCCTGCAGAGCAAAGGAGACAGGGCGTCAGCTCCCCCGGGCCTCCAGCAGCTGCGGCAGGCAGACAGCGCCTGACACCAGCCGCACCCAGCCCGGCTCCTGGACCAGACCCTCCACCCTGAACCCCCCATCGCGCCGCTCTCTCTGGCCTGAGCCCGTGGGGACGGGGCCCTGCAGAGCAGTCGGGGCTCCCTGCCCCACAGCAGCAGGGAAATCTCCTTGGGGGGCCGAGCTGCCCAGACAGGCTCTGCCATCCCCTCTGGGCCCCACGGGCTCCCACTGCCGGGTCCCCTCCAGCTGCGAATGCAGCCACCGCAGTAACCCCGAGAACAGGCAGGGCTGGGAATGCTTCTCCCCCAGTGCCCCTCACTCCCAACCTGCAGCCCCCGCCAGCCCAGCCCTGCCCCCCCAGCTCTGCCGGTGCCCCTCACTCCCAACCCGCAGTCCCCGCCAGCCCAGCCCTGTCCCCCCAGCTCTGCCCCTCACTCCCAACCCACAGTCCCTGACAGCCCAGCCCTGCCCCCCCAGCTCTGCCGGTGCCCCTCACTCCCAACCCGCAGTCCCCGCCAGCCCAGCCCTGTCCCCCCAGCTCTGCCCCTCACCCTCACTCCCAACCCGCAGTCCCCGCCAGCCCAGCCCTGTCC